TGGCAAGTGGCTACAGCAGATATGCTGACACACTTGAGGAGGGGTGACAGGGGCTTGGACCCCTAGAAAGCGTGCTGTGTAGGCACCTGGCCTCTGCTCTGCTTCCCGGACACTGGGCGGGACCAGGGCCATCTCTGGAGCCTCAGCTGGGGTACCTCTGGCCAGGAAACCCTCACCTTTGGAATTCATGAGGTGCAAGTTTGTTGTTCTTACTCTGTAGCTTTCTATTTAACTAATAAGTTGCAAAGTAGGTGCTAAGCTAGTTAGTTCTAGCTGCTGATGAATACAAGTTAACATGCAAATGTAACAAGTTAAAAATCCTACAATCTTAACCTTTCCTAGCCCTGGGCAAGTCGCGGTTGCTCTGTAGTTAAGGCTCTGACTCCACCAAGACCCCCACCTCTACCCCTGGTGGCTCCTTCAGAGCAGAGTTTAACTCAGCTGTCTTTAGAGCAGAGTTTCTCAGACTCACACTATTTTGACATTCTGGGTCAAAAAATTCTGTGGTGGGGTAGTTGTCCTGTGCATTTAAGGATGCTTAACAGCATCCCTGGCGTCAACCCACAAGATATTAGTAGTATTATTCTCCTAGTTGTGATAGCCAAAAATACCTCGAGACATTAGAAATGTTCCTTGGGGAAGCAAAATCAACACTGGTTGAAAACCACTGCTTGCTTGCTTGCTTTATTTATTTATTTATTTATATTTTTTCAGAGAGAGAGAGCACAAGCGGGAGGGGCGCAGAGAGAGAGGGAGACACAGAATCCGAAGCAGGCTCCAGGCTCCAAGCTGTCAGCACAGAACCCGATGTAGGGCTTGAACTCACAAACTGCAAGATCATGACAAGAGCTGAAGTTGGACACTTAACTGACTGCTTTTGAAGAAGCTGTTCCTCAACTTGATACAATCTGATACACTCTATCTCATTCCTTAGTTTGGACTGTTGTGACTAAAGTCTACTGCTAAAAAATTGTTTTCCCTGAACAAATTTCATTTGTTGCACACAAGTTTAATAAGCCTTATTCACATTCTTTCCTTTACACATTCTTACTTTTATAGAATATTTGGAAACTATGGAGAAACATTTAAAACCATAGTCCTGTGTCAAAAAAGCACTATTAATATGTATTTTAAAATTTCTTTTCAGTTCTACAAGTGAAAGAATTCTAAAGACCCACTGCACAACAACGTGCATATAGATAACACTACTGCACGATGTGGTTAAAAATGGTTAAAACGGGAAGCACCTGGGTGGCTCAGTCGGTTAAGCGTCTGACTTCGGCTCAGGTCATGATCTCACGGTCCGTGAGTTCGAGCCCCTCATCGGTCTCTGTGCTGACAGCTCAGAGCCTGGAGCCTGTTTCGGATTCCGTGTCTCCCTCTCTCTCTGACCCTCCCCTGTTCATGCTCTGTCTCTCTCTGTCTCAAAAATAAATAAACGTTAAAAAAGTTTTTTTAAAAAAATGGTTAAAACGGTAAAAGAAAAAAAAGATACCTTTGCCCATAGTCCCGCCCCTATTAATTTTCACTTCTTTGATCTAATAGTTTCATCTGTAAGAATTTGTCCAAAGGAAATAAAGGTACATGCAAACATTATGTATAGTGATGTTTTATCAGACCATTGTTTATAATATAAAAAAATAGGGCATTAATTCGGTAAACTATAGAGCATCTGTGTGACGAGGTGCTAGGCAGTTACCAAAAATCATATTCTCAAATGATTTAAGGACATGGAAAATGCTCCCCATATGTTAAGTCTTTTTAAAGTAAGGATATTATACACCGAAAAGTAGAAAATATTGCTGAAGGAAAGAAGATATAAATAAATGGAAATACATCACGTGTTTATGGATTGGAAGACTCAATATTGTTCAGATATCAATACAACCCAAAGTGATCTACAGATTGAATGCAGTCCCTATTGAAATTCCAATGTTTGATTCAGGAATGAAAAGAAATCCCTCCTGAAATTCACATCGAGTCTCAAGGGACCCTAAAACTCAAAAGAATCTTGAAAAAGAAGAACAGAGCTGGAGAACTTGAATTTTCTGATTTCAAAACATATACAAAGCCACAGTGATGAAAACAGCATGGTACTGGCATAATGATAGACACAGGGGCCGGTGGACGAGAATAAAAGACTCCGAAACAAAGCCTCCCCGTGTAGTCAACGGAATTTTGACAAGGTTGGCAAGACCATTCACTGGAAAGGGGGAAGTCTTTTTAATAGATGGTACTGGGGAAAATGAATATCCACATGCGAAAGAATGAAGTTGGACCCTTACCCTACGCCATATAAAAAACTGGCTCAAAATGGATTAAATGTAAGAACTAAAACCATAAAACTCTTCAAGGAAAACATAGGGGAAAACTTTCATGACGCTGAACTGGGCAATGATTTCTTCGATGTGACACTAAAGCATGGGCAATAGGTAAATTGGACTTCATCAAAATAAAAACTTCTGTGTGACAAGGAGTGAAAGATCATGGAATGTGAGAAAATATTTGCAAATAATATATCTGATAAGACACTGATATGCAAAGTACATTAAGAACTCCTATAACTCATCAACAACAAGCAAAAAGCAAAAAAACCAAAAAACCAAAAAACATCAATTTTTAATAAAATGAGAGGAACAGACATTTCTCCAAAGAAAATATACAAATGGGCAATAATCATATAAAAAGATGCTCAACATCACTAATCACTGGGGAAATGCAATCAAAATTACAATGGGATACTATTTCATATCTGTGAGGATGGCTCTTGTAAAAAAACAAAAAAAATAACCGTTGGTGAGGATGTGGAAAAATTGGGAATGTTGTACATTGCTAGTGGGAATGTAAAATGGTACTATGGTAGACTGTTTGGAAGTTGCTTAAAAAAGCTAAGCATCTAATTCCCAGATGATCCAGCAATGTCACTTCTGTGCATCTACCCCAAATTGTTGAAAGCAGAGATACAAACAGGTATTTGTGCACCAACATTCACAGCAGCATTATTTACAATAGCCAAAAGATGGAAACAACCCAAATACTCCTTGAGGGATGAATGGATGAAAAACATGTGGTATGTGCATTGAATGGAATATTATTCAGCCTTAAAAAGGAATGAAATTCTGTCAAATGCCACAGCATGGGCAAACCTCAGGAACATTATGCTAACTGAAATGAGCCAGACAGGACGACTATTATATGATTCCATTTATTTGAGGCACATACAGCAGTCAGATTTATGGAGACAGAAAGCAGAACGGAGGTTACCAGGGGCTACAGAGCAGTGGGAATGGGGAGTCAGTGTTTCATGAGTGCAGAGTTTCAGTTTGGGGTGATGACAAAGCTCTGGAGATGAATAGTGCTGATGTTTGCACAACGTTCTGAATGTGCTTTATGCCACTGAATTGAACACTTAAAAATGGTTATAATGGTAAATTTTAGGTTATGTGTATTTTACCACAATTGAAAACATACTTCACGAGCAAAAAGACAAAAATACATCTATATTAATTTTATTAATATTAACTTCTTGATAATTCTACTGAGGTTGTAAGAACAAATTATATTCTAGGAATTAAAAGGGAATTAAACAGCATTTAAAACAGAGTTTATTTTAACTTACAATCCTCTCACTTTATAATGAGAAAAGAATAATTGATATAATTAGTGTCTTAAATTTTTTTTATTAGTACCTTCCCCTCCTCGGGCTTCCTACCTCTTTCTACCTTAATTCTTTCCATTCCAATTAGCTTATATCACAAAAGCTTATACTCAAGAACCTGATAACATTTCCAGGTCCTCTTTAATCCTGGGAATTTGTGCTCTGGACACCATTGTGTTGGAGGCGACGATGGTTGGGTGTTCGCCTTCACCCAACCTTCCTTGTATGGTGTCCCAGTTGTGCCTAGAAGCTCTCCTATGGTTACCAGTGATACCAGCTTCAGGATGATGCAGGTTCTAAACATGGTGGGAGACAGACAAAACCCAGGGCCCTGCTAGCATTGCTGAGCTGCTGAATCAACCATCCCTAAATCCTGTGCTGTCCTAAGACTTCTTATCACATGAGCTACTAGATTCCCATATCGCTCATCCATTTGATGTGGGGCTTCTGCTTCTGAAGTGATTCAGATTCATTTTTGGCTGAGAGATTAGGGTGAATTGTGATCAAGCTTTGGAGAAGGAGCTGCTCACCAGGGGGAAGGTGGGGAAGAATACTTCAGGTATGGAAAAGATGTGAGCAAAGACAGATGTGAAAATGCTTGGTGTGCTTGGAGGACTCAGGTGGGTCAGGAGAGTCAGGTAATGGGGATGAAGTAGATGGGCTGGGGCTGGGTTCTTGTAAGAATTGTTTTCCTGTGGACGGTGGAGGAATATCAAAGCTTTTTAAGCAGGGAAACGACTTGATCAGATCAGTCTTTGAACATACACACCAATCCTCCTTTCTAAAATTCTAGTAATGAGAACACAAGACAGAGCAGAACGTAGAAGAACCAATGTAAGTGAATGCAACATCCAAAATGTTGAGGGCCTTGAATAGAAGAAAAAGGTGGAGAAAGGACAAATTAGTTCTCTGCTTGAACTGAGATGTCCATCTTCTCTTGCCCTCAGACACTAGCTCTCCTGGTTCTCAGGCGTTTGGACTCGGACTGAATTATAATATAACACTTCCTGGCTCTCCCATTTACAGATCGTGGGGCTTCTCAGTCTCCATTAGGGAGCCAATACTTACCATAAATCTCATATTCTCTCTCTCTCTATCCTATTGGTTCTGCTCTCCGGAGAGCCTGACCAATAAACATTGTTTCAGGGGCTTGACCACATTAAGGCCAGCATTTCTGAAACTGTGGCATTTCCCCCACACTTGTCCCCTCTTGGGTATAAAATGCCTGAAAGAAGAAAGAACTGTGGCACCAGGGGCAGCCACTCCTTTTCATCAGGAAGGCAAAAGTTTTTCCAGAACCATCTCTTCTCTCTCCATCAGCATTCTTTCACTTATGTTTCCATATCCAGAGAGTGTCACGTGACAGCCTCAGTTAGCAAGAGACTCTGCCAGAGATTCATGAACTCAATGTGTACATACAGTTTAGGGGATTCAAAACCTTCTGAAGCCCATTATGGTAACCTAGCTTCAGGATCCCTGTGTGTGTGATGTGTGTGCGTGTGTGTGCGTGTGTGTGTGTGTGTGTTTCCAGAATCCCTGTTTTAAAAAGTGGGTCCCGCTATCTCTGAACCTCAGTTTTCACATCCTCACACCTCAGAGAAAAACCGAAATCTAAACAGATTTTTAATAATCTGTTTTGAAGCAACAGCTTATTTAAAGACCAGAGAATCACATGAGACAATGTATTGCAAAAATGTTTTGCCAATTGTAAAGTTGTACTTAACATGAAGGCACGTTTTTATTGTGAAAGGTGTGTTTTATTTGTTATGGATCACACATCTTGCTTTCCGCTTGTGCTGTGTGGTTGTGCGTATGTGTGTGTGAGTGAATAAAACAATAAAATAAGAGGAGGACAAAAGAAAAACACAAGAAAACCAATGCCAGGAGCACACAGAAAATGTTTTATTAGTTTCCAGATGGAGAATAAGGAGGAGTAAAAATATTTCAATAGTAATCCATGACTCTCCTCAAAGAGCCCACTCGGGCACTCGTGGCCCCCCAGTCATGGTAGTGCCTGTAGTCCCCTGGCCTCAGCAGGTACTGCCGCCCCCGGTAGTTGGGCATCTCGTAGAGGACCCAGGAGCCCTCCAACACATGGAGGGAGTAGATCTCATTGAAGTGCAAGCGGTCTTGAAGAGACGGGCAGTCCTCAGTGATCTCTACCATTTGGCCTCTGTAATCTTCCCTCTCGTAGAGCCTGATCCTGTGGGAGCCAGCCTGACCCATCCAGAGATGGAAAGAGGAGAAAAGCAAACTATGAAATGGATGTAACACATTCAGGCAGTCCAGCTCAAGGTATTTTGTAATATAGGATAAGCCTTAACTAATTCTCCATATTAATATACTCTCCATTTTCAAAGGTGGAAATTCGGTACCTTTTCAAAACCATAAAGTGTGACGGAAAGAATTAAGAAGGAAATTCCACTCTTTCTGTGTTCAAAATTTCCCAGGATAAACTATTAACCGAGTTCAGTATACCCCACCAGAGAGAAACCCAAACCTTTAACAGCTTATTACTACTTTTTCCATTTGGGGGAAATATTTTTAATTTTTCAAGCAGGTGTCTTTGAACAGTAAAAGCAGCCTATGAAATGAATGATCTTGCATTGGATTTAAAATAAATCTTGGAAAAATCACCAAGGACTTGGATGTTTCTGTTTCTGTGGAAAGCAAAGTTAAGCATCTTAAGTCTCTCAAAAATCATTGATTCTCATTGAATCATTTATGAATACAATAAGGAAAAATGAGAAAGAAAAATCAGTAAGCCCAAGGACTCGTTTTTCAAAAACCTTAGTGTTTTAAAAAAACACGTATTTGAAATATACATGGGTATGTGCATAAAATTTCTCTGTGTTTCTCTCCATTGAGGGAAAGCACTTTTATTTATATAGGTCCGGTAAATCAAAATATGCAAGTGGGGAGCAAAAGAGAGAAAAGTCTTTTAAACATTAACCCTTGTAAAAGTTTCCTTTACAGTGCCTCACTGCTCTGTGACTACGGTATATTCTAGCAGTTCATTACTCTTCTATGGGATATTAGTGCTTTTTCTACAACTCCATTGTAAGTTGTTCCAGGACAGGACCCATAGCTTTTACATGTCCAGGCCAGCCAACACATTGTTGCTGAGTAAATATTTGTTGATTCATTGGTGCCTGGGTAACACTTTGCTTCTGTCTGGGGCAAATGACATTGAGCTACTCTACCATAGCTGGTCTTTTGTCCAGACTCAATTATTCTTGATGATCACTACTCCCGATGGTTAGCCTTTGCTTGAAACTACCCATTCTGTGTCCTGTCATGGGGCTGGACTCACGTGGGGGATGAGGCGGCAGGAGCGGACCGCGTCGCTGAGGCCCATCCACTGCTGGTAGTCGGGGTAGTCCCCGCGCCGCAGGAAGTACTGGCAGCCCAAGTAGTTGGGCTGCTCATAGAGCATCCAGCAGCCGCTGTCCACGCGCACCGAGTTGCAGCGGCTGAAATAGGGCTGCAGGTTGGAGTGGTCACTGCTGCACTCGTAGTGGTGGCCCTGGAAGCCCCGGTCCTCGTAGAAGGTGATCACAAAACCAGGGGAGGAAAGCACAGAGGCCCTGGCCCCAGACTCCAGGCTGGGGAGCACCCGCAATGACCTGCTGCCACTGAGGCTCACCTCCCATGGCTGGTGGTGGATGGAGGTCAGTGATGGGCACTGGGCGCCGGCTGGGATCTATTACCGCACGAGGGCTGCTAAGGTTGGTAAGAATTTTCATACACAAAAAAGGGGCCACTTTAGGGTGAGGAGGGACTCATTATGTGCTCTTTTTCTCTTGCTGTATGTAAGTCCACCCCGGACTCATTGGAGGTTTTTAATCCCATTCTCTCTGGAGTATTCGGGTTGCTATCACTGTCTGATGCTATTGACACCGTTTGAAAAAAAATGAATCTGGAAGATGTTTTATTCCAATAAGCAGAGCTTCAGCCATTTCGTATATAGTCGATCCTTCTACTTGTATAGGTTGGGGAAAAACAACAAAATGTAACTGAAGGAGGAAAAAAAAAAGCAGAGTCTTAATATGGTCAATATAAAATTAATCTGCGAGAACTATCATATGACGTATGTGCCACGATATTGTACTAATTGTGAATAGGAAGAGCATGACCTTAGCTAAATGTTGAAAATTCCAAAGTAGCTCTTTAAGAGAATTTTCTTATTGAAGGGTGTAAGTTACTGGAATGTTTTATCAAGGGAATTTACAAAGCTTCGGACTTGCAGGTATGCCAAACAATAGCAACGACAATAAGAACACACCAGCAAGCACATATCTGAGGTGTCTGGTTGGAATTCGTTACAGTCCTGTCTGGAGGTAGACTGAGGATTAGATGTTTCAGCGTGGCCAATTGTAATTCAAAAGGGAGAACACTGTTTAAGAGGCTTCATCTCAGAAAGAAGAATGAAAAGGGAAATTCCTAAGTTGGAGGAAATAAGAAAAAGTGAAAACGCAAAAATCGATGGCCTCTCAGGTTATTATACAATAAAACCCAATTCCTAGAAAACCCATTTCTGGTAGCAATCCCGATACCCCTTTATCTCTGGGGAACAAGAGTACGCAAAGCTTTTGACTCAAAGGAGATTAACTGCGTGAACACAAAGAGAAGTTATAGCTAAAATGGTGTGGGGAGAGGAAGGAATAAATCTGGAAGCTGAGACTCTAGGAAGACTTTAGAAAGTATTTATTAGCCTGGAAGAGAATAGTTTGATGGGCTGGAAAGAGCACTGGAGTGGAAGATGACCTATGCCTTTGGCCTCTTTCATGTCCAAAGAATTATTCACAGTCCTGTGTTGTCTCATGGAAATACTTTGTCTTGACTTTGGGTCATAAGTCTTTGTAAGTCTGTATTTGTGAATAAACACCAACTAACGTACAATATGATGATTTCCGCTCTTGTTAACCACTAGATAAAGGCATATGTTTGCAAAATTACTTCTGTTTACAGAGTGGAAAAATAAGCAGAATAAAAAATCATCATTTTAATTAATAATTTAAAAATTAATCATTAACAAAATAAAAAGGTTAAAATTGTCGTTTTGCTCAGAGTTGTTTCTGCGGGGAGAGTGTTGAGAGGTAAAAATAGTCAAACATGAGAAAGAACCAAATGCAGAGCCCCAGGGAACACCCAGAGGAGCATGGTGGGAGTGGGCTGTGGGGACCACCAATACAATTACAAATTTATGCTACATGTAGAGGACCAAACAAGGGAGTTGGGTTTGGTATTTTCATTGACTAGGAAGAGAAAAGGCTTTATTTCAGCCTGGAGAAACAAGGAAAAAGAAAGAAAAAACCAACTCACAGTTTTCACAGAGCTGAAAAGTGATTGGCTCGGGCCAAATGTGCCTTGATTTTAATGCTCTACAGAGAATTCCTGGATTGACAAATGTGTGTCAGACCAAAGCCTCAAATTGCACTTAGTGTGCTAAGTGAACATAAGCTAAGACTTGAGAATCCTCACGCCTGTGGCACTGAAGCAGAGGTCTGTACAAGTTGCCTGGAATGACTGATGGGGACTGTCTTTGGAGGGAGAATAAGAGATAAGGATCAGGCACCCTCAGTCCTGAGCTCTAGTCTGGGAAGTAGCCTTTTGTCACTCCCGAAATATTCAGGTGGTTTCAAACAAAAGTGAAGGCAAAAGAGACGAGTTCAGGTTAAATTTTACTGCACGCAGAGTCAAAGATTTTTGTAGCTGCTGTAAATATCAGTCTACAGAATGAAGTGTATGAGAAGTACCCCTTTCCTTATTTTCTATTGTTGCAATATTTCATGAATCTAAGTCTCATTCCACTAGGATGGACAGAAAATTGAACTGCAGTCATTGTTGGGGTTTTGTCTTCTCACTTTCCCAGGCTCTACGGTTGGGTTCTGTGGGCATTTCATGGCGGTACTGGGTGTGATGGGAAGTCCTGTGTTAGCCATTGGTGGTGGCTGTCTCCAGCTTTCACACCAGCGTGGAAATGAGCATTGGCAGCCCCGAGGGCTGTGGGAACTGGGATGTGTTTTATTTGGCTGGCACAATGTTTAGATGTTTTTCATGATGCTTCAGGTTGGTTCGCACAACCCATAGCTCCCCATACTCGTCATCACTCCTTGTTGTCTATAGGAAGTTGTTTTATTTATTTACATCATTTCTCAGGCCCCTGAGGGCATTGAGCTGCAGCCTCAAACAAGAGTTTTCAAACTCTGTTCAGTTTTTGCCAGAGGAAAACACTATACATCAGAGCAAAATCCCAAGCATTCTTCCTTGGTCGGAGCCATAGTTTACTAGGAGCTTGTGTATCTTGGGGTATTAAAGTGTCCCTTTGTAAATGTCTCTTCTTTTGTAAAATGATGTACGAAGAGATGGTGCTTAGTTTTACAATTTTGCTGTCTTGTTTAAATTTTAAGTGTCCTTGCTTGGCAAAACAAAAATTGGCAATCTTATGTTGGTCTCTATTTAAAGAAAACTAGTCTGGGAAACCTAAGCTACTGAGAATCATTTGATTTGATATCATGATTTGAACCATTTGGTATCATAAGAAATATGTAAATAAATATTACTCCATTTATTTTCCCTAGAAATTTGTCTCGGGATGACTTTAAAGTACTAAATAAAAGTACTTGATAAACAAAAGTGATTATATATGTATTATTTAGTACCTGAAAACTACTTGACTTTAAAAAGTAATTACATACTTATGTTTAACGTAAGCATCTCGTATTTCTGGGTAGAACTCTGTGGTGGTAGGGACAATGCCTTTCATTTGTTTGGGTTGTTTCATCCCCAGTACTAACATATGACAGGCCTATGGTAGGTGCTTAGAAAACGGTGAAGATACTAACTCAAAAAAGTTAGGATCTTTGGGTGGCCAGTAATTGGGCAGAGTCTAATAAAATTAAAAGTAACTTGTGCTTTGATTGGGTGGTCTCACTTCTAGGTCTCTATCCTCCAAAAGTTATGGCATGTGTAGATAAAGGTACACGTACAATGATATTCTTTGCAGCCTTGTTTGTAAAAGGAAACTTGGACAAGCCCAGTCACCAATGGGTAAATGGTAAAATAATCTAGGGGGTCTTCAAATAACGGAACGCACTGCAGCCATTAAATAGAATAAGATACGTATCTAGATCTATGTCCGTATCATTTTTCATGGTAAAAGCAAGCTGCAGACTAATATGTGCAAGTAAGTAAATAAAAAAGCATGCATTTCATGAGATGTCAATATAAACAGGGAAAAAATTCAAGAAGGGTGCCCATCAAGTGTAAAGCAGGGTTGGGGAATAGGGGCGCCTGGGTGGCTCAGTCGGTTGAGCGTCCAACTTCGGCTCAGGTCATGATCTCACAACTCATGAGTTTGAGCCCCACGTCGGGCTCTGTGCTGACAGCTCAGAGCCTGGAGCCTGCTTCGGATTCTGTGTCTCCCTGTCTCTCTGCCCCTAACCCACTCTCATTCTGTCTCTGTCTCTCTCAAAAATAAAATAAACATTAAAAAAAAAAAGCGCTAGGAAATAAGAGTGGGATCAGAAGGATCCTCTCTACTTCTTTCTTTATAGAGTTTGTAAAGTAGTAGGATTATAGGAGGCTTTTCTTCAGAGGAAAAATTTTAAAAATAAATTAATTCTCTACTAATGGAAAGATATTCAATTTTTTTCAACATGCAAGGCTTTACTTGTGAGCAAGCAGGTTTTACTTCAATCAAAGTCTATTTAAAATATTTACCTATATCTCATTAATTGCTCTGCATTAGCTGCACTTCAGGTAGGGTCTGGCCCAGGGGATATACTGGCCAAGAGGTGCACCGGGGGCTGGAGCCATTTTAGAAAAGGAAGGGGGATCTATGACCCACCCAAAAGTATGGCAATGTCCACTGGCAGCTTTGACATTAGTCATGTAATACTGTGCTCAAAAGTAAACAATACTACAATTCCTTATGTAGCCTAAACAGGCTTTTTGCCAAATGGGCTTCTCTTCACTGCTCATCTGGGACCTCCTATGGCTTCCACTCACCTGCTGGGTCAGAAGGAAGCTCCTAGAATGCTGTTCCTCAAGACCCTCACCTGAACACCTCCCTCCTCACCAGTCACCCTCTCCCATTCCCTTTCCTTCTTAGACAGGCTACCTCATCCCTCCACCCCCACTTGGGAGCCTGTTCCAGACTCATTCTACCTTGAAGTGCTTCTAGAACTGAGCCCTCCCCACCTAGTCACACCTCAACCTTTAACAGGGAGCCTTTAGAGGTAAATTAATTGGCACACAATGAAAGAAAAACAGAAGTCAGCAGTTGCCAACAATACAGACTAAATACTTTATTAGGTTCCAAATTGAGAAAACGGTAGTGTGAACCTATTTTAGTATAAATCCACCACCCTCCTCAATGAGCCTGCCTTAGCATCCACAGCCCCCCAGTCGTGGTACCGCCTGTATTCTTGGGGCCTCAGCAGGTATTGCCGCCCCTGGTAGTTGGGCATCTCATAGAGGACCCAGCAGCCCTCCAGCACGTGGAGGGAGCGGACCTCACTCAGGTGGAAGCGGTCCTGGATGCAGGAGCAATCCTCGCTCAGCTCCATCATGAGGCCTTTGTGGTCCTCTCTCTCATACAGTCGCAGCCTGTGAGAGCTCGTCTGCTTGGTCCACAAAGACAAGGAGCAGAAGAAGCAACCAAACAACAGATGAATTTGGTAGGTTGGGGGATGGGACTACCAGTGTCAAAACTGAGACTCTGAGATTGCTGCATATGCTGTGGATAGCTCTGTGTTCTACCAGCATTTAACAAATATTTGCATATTCAATTTTTATTTCATATCTGGGAAATATAAATTTTAAGAGGTTCTAAGTCTAAGCTGTGTTCTACCAGCATTTAACAAATATTTGCATATTCAATTTTTATTTCATATCTGGGAAATATAAATTTTAAGAGGTTCTAAGTCTGGGTTAGAATGCATTAAGAATTCACATATCTAGACTCCTAATTCCCTAATTTCCATTGATTCCTAGGTGATAAGTCAAATGTATATTTTGGGGAAAAATTCAAAGTATTTTAACTAGTATTATTTTAATATGAGTATCATCTCCCCAACTTATATACATATAAGTGTACAAATAAAGTTGGACTTTTAAAATTACATACTTCAGTGAAAATTGGTTTAATTAGTCACTTGGAACCAGAATTCAACCGCTTTTCCAAATCAAGGGCAATTCCCTTCTCCAAAGTTGGACACAAACTTAGAATAGCCTGTATTAACAATAGAGTTTCCATTTTTACAAGTCTGTGGTGGAACCTATCTAATTCATTCATCGTCAGTTCTTTATTACTAATTAAAATTACAATTTAAAAAATTTTTAATTAATTTGTTTGAAATACTACCTTCTTACGTCCGACCAGCTCCTCATTCGCAAGTTTCGGTCTCTATCTCTGTATATTACATTTGTTACATAATGGTAACAAAACTTTGTAATTGACGTAATGGTAGCAAAAATTAAAACTAAGACCGACTCTTCCCATGAGTGCATTCTTCTCATATTCTCTGCTGTTTCTGTGCATTTATCTCTCTGGGCTTAGGCAGCAACTAAAGCCCACTCTACCCTTCCGTGTCTTTAAAAGAAAACCTGCCTCACGTTAACCCCCCAGTAATCCAGTGAGGACACTCAGGCAGCATGATGGAAATGAGGTCGGACTCACCTGGGGGATGAGACAGCAGGAGCGGATCGTGTCGCTGAGGCCCATCCACTGCTGGTAGTCCGGGTAGTCCCCGCGCCGCAGGAAGTACTGGCGGCCGGAGTAGTTGGGCTGCTCATAGAGCATCCAGCAGCCGCTCTCCACGCGGATGGAGTTGCAGCGGCTGAAATAGGGCTGCAGGTTGGGGCAGTCGCTGCTGCACTCGTAGCAGCGGCCCTGGAAGCCCCGGTCCTCGTAGAAGGTGATCTGCAAAGGAAGAATAATTCTGAATTAAATCAGTTGCTCCCAACAGATCTGGTACAGAGGCATTTTCTCTCTCTTGATGTCTCTTTTTCTTTAACTTGTATCCTGCTCACCTTCCCCATGGCTGGTTGACACGGATGTGCGAGCTCAGTGCGCTGGGCCGGCAGCGCCGCGGGTCTATATAGCCAGGCTGCTGCTGCGTTGGCAAGAACAACACAAAAGGGGCCCCCGGGGGTGAGTAAGGGGATTTTATGGATCCCTTTTACACGCTGCATTCAGTGGAAATGCCTGTAGAGTTTGCCCTCATTCTCTGGTATATTCTAACGCTGTTCTGAATGCGTCCTGGTTGAGTCCCTAGAGTTGCTTTTATGTGGATTCTTAGTATTTTCTAAATTTATCAGCACCTCAATCTGAACTTTTGACCTGAAATTCATGTCGTTACGGATATGATTCAGTTATGCCCCGTGTAATTTCTACGGGAAAATCTATGCCTTTATAGCAGTGCCCCCCCACTTCCAGGGGCTGTGATGTGGAATGCCACAAACATGGCCTAATTTTCCTTGATGACAGAGGCCACTGTGACTTAACATTTTTTTTCCTTTATACGATTAGCCAGTCTGGTGCAGGACACAGGTTTGGTTTCTGATCTTTGCTAGTTTTGACTGTGGTGATCTGATGCTTTAAGACATAGCTACTACTCCTTTGGTGGGCGTACTTCATGTACGAGAAATCAGCCCCTGCAAGTCAACTTGTCATAAGAACCAAGGGAAAGGTTTGTTTCTAGGGGCTCTGGGCCCAAGACTGAGAAGTATATTGTTTTTTGGCGTACTTCCCTTTGTTGGGCCTGGGGAGGCAGTAAAGCTTTGCACGCTCAGAATGTCCACTGAGGAGCCACATGAACTTGGCAAGCCACGTGACCTCTCAGAACCTGAGTTATTTCATGGTACTTATCTCATGGGATATAGTAAGTTGAAAAAGAGAGAAAGAAGAAAACGAGAGCGGTATTTGCCTACAGAAGCT